GGACCCCAGGCTCACCCGCCACACTGAGGCTTCCAGCGGGTCAGGCCCCGGAGACACGGGGCCCTCCGACCCTCAGCTGGCTCGCTCCCTGCCTGCCCCTAAGCCCGAAGGCGGCCTTCATTCCAGCCCCGCGGGCCCCAGCGGCTCCAAGGGGTCTGGGCCACCCCCTGCAGAGGAGGAGGAAGGGGAGCGGGCCCTGCGGGAGAAGGCCGTGAACATTCCCCTGGACCCCCTTCCCGGGCAACCGCTGCGGGACCCACGGTCGCGGCTGCAGCTGCAGCAGTTCAGCCACATCAAGAAGGATGTGACCCTGAGCAAGCCGAGGTTCGCCCGCACCGTGCTGTGGAACCCCGAGGACCTGATGCCCCTGCCCATCCCCAAGCAGGATATCGTGCCCCCTGTCCCTGCTGCCTTGCAGTCCATGCCTGCCCTGGACCCCAGGCTGCATCGGGCCTCCACTGTGGGTCCCTCCAACCCCCGACAGCACTCAGGCACCTCCACGGACCCCGGCCCATCCGGCTCCAACCTGCCTGACTTCGAGCTCCTCTCTCGAATCCTCAAGACTGTCAGTGCCACTGGCCCCTCTGCTGCCCCCGGCCCCAGCGACAAGCCCAGCGACCCCCGGGTGCGGAAGGCGCCCACTGACCCTCGGCTGCAGAAATCAGCAGACTCTGCTGCCTCCTCCCGCGCTGCCAAGCCTGGCTCTGCCGAAGCGCCCTCTCCAGCTGCCAGCCCCAGTGGGGAGTCCTCTCCCCCAGCCACCGCCCCCTATGACCCCCGAGTACTGGCGGCTGGTGGGCTGGGCCAGGGCAGTGGGAGCGGGCAGAGCAGCGTGCTGAGCGGCATCAGTCTCTACGACCCCAGGACTCCCAATGCAGGTGGTAAAGCTGCAGAGCCCGCTGCTGACGGGGCTGCCCAGCCCAAGGGCGCCGAGGGCAATGGCAAGGGCTCGGCGGCCAAGGCCAAGGAGCCCCCGTTTGTCCGAAAGTCTGCCCTGGAACAGCCCGAACCAGGGAAGGCCGGTGCGGACGGGGGCTCCACCACAGCCACGGACAGATACAACAGCTACAACCGGCCCCGGCCCAAGGCCCCTGCCACCCCCACCACCACCACCGGCA